TTTTTTTTAAACAGGGTCTCACCCTGTCACCTAGGCTGGAGTGCAGTGGTGCGGTCTCAGTTCACTGCAACCTCTGGCACCAGGGTTCAAGCAATTCTCCTGCCTCAGCCTCCTGAGTAGCTGGGATTACAGGCATGTGTCACCACACCTGGCTGATTGTTTTATATTTTTAGTAAAGACAGGGTTTCACCATATTGGTCATGCTGGTCTTGAACTCCTGACCTTGTGATCTGCCTGCCTTAGCCTCCCAAAGTGGGATTTCAGGCGTGAGCCACCCTGCCCAGCAAGATGTATGTAATTATCCTAATGTCCCAACTAAGAAAGAATAAGAACTTGACTTCTTTAATTAAAAAGATTCTCAAATACTTCACTCAGATATATATTTTTTAATTGTAAAGATATTTTAATAATGAAACAAGGAAATTTTAGTAAGAGATTATTCACAAAATTGTATCCACAAGTTTATAACTTTCAAAATTAAAACACTATAAATATCATGACTGATAACCAATTTGAACCTTCCGAAGTCGTAGATTAATTGACAGCCCTGTGAGGATTTTTACCTGGATAAATCTCCAATAACTAAGTAAAAATAAAAGATTACAAAAGATTCAGGCTTTTGTGGAGATCAAACTAATGTATGATTTAATATAGCTTGACAGAACTTGTATGAACAATTATTAGGGATTAAAAGTCACCATTCATATTTACAGAAAGGTTTACAAAACACCCTCATCTCTCACATTTAGAAAGGAATATCTACCTCCCAACCTAACTGAATTGCATTTAAGTGAACAAAACTGTGCTTATCATTGGCTTTTAGGGCAGAAAGCAGCCTTGTTTCATTTCATCTGACAGCATATTTCCTTTCTGACATTATTCTAAAAGCATATTTTCCTTCTGTTTGACCTGTAAATACCCTAATGTTTCACACAGTAACGAATGCTTTACAGGAAAGTTTAAATTTGACCTTTATACTGTTATGTTACAAAGCAAAGAATAAAACACATTTATAAAAACTTTCTTTAAAATATAATGAACTGTGCCATTAAGCATGAAAAAGAACTTGGTTATATTTTACACAATTTAGTTAAAAGAGCTGGTTTTATTGGACCATCTCATTCCTTAATTCGCTTAAGAGTAAAATGTAGTGTATTTCCTACACCAAACATAGCCAACGCCATCCAATTCTGCATGTGAACGCACAATGTAAGAGAAGAAATAATAAATTTATTTTGTTACTCTAAGTCACTATTTCAACAACGCTTTGTTTTTTTCACTGCAGACCGAAATCTGGAACGTTTCTTTGCATATTTGATTAAAGTTGAATATTGGTGGACACTTACGTCACACTACACTTACACAAAATACCTGTTTATAAGCCTGGCATCCCCGCCCCTGTTAAAACCAAGGTGCATTCAGCATTATTACCTGTCCTGGAGCATTTCCTTAAACGTCTTAGAGCTTCTTTCAGACTTCTCAAGTGCCTGCTTTTCAATTTCTTCCCTCTCTTCTTTTTTCTTCTGCAGATCTGAAGTGTAACTTTTTCGACGATCTTTCCATTTTGCAAGGTCCTGACAGAAAAATCACATCAGCAGGGGCACACCTGAATTTCTACACACCATTTCTAGCACCGAGAATGTGCCAGAGTATCTTATTACATCACTGAAACTATTCACTCCAACTGGATGCCAAGGTGCCCTAATTTTGCTTTTTATAGCCAGTGTTTCTGTACTAAGCCTTTATCTGTGTCTGTCTGAAAAACCTGACCTAATAAGATAGACCCCATTTTTATTTCCCCAGAAAGTATCTGCCTCATTGCACACTTCACAAAGAATGCTAAATGCTTGTAATTAGATCAAGAACTGTTTCAAATTCGTTTTCATCTCACTCCAAAAACCTGGCTGTTACGTGAAACACGTTTCACTGGTAAGACTGAAACAAAAACGCAACCATGATGGTTAAGCGCAGATGCAGTCTGTCTTTCATTTAACGAACAGAGCTCAATCCCTACATTGAGACAGGCCCAAGTGTACGAACTATTAATACATACATGCATAAGGTGTGGTTCCCCTCAAGAAACTCTCAGTTTACAGGGGAGAGACAGACATCTAAATAAAAGTTCAGGAACGAGTGTGACAGGGTTGCGTGAGAGAGTGGGGTCCTAAGAACCATGGGGCCGGTTCTACTCCGGAAGGGGAGGCTGTGGAGAGGCTTTAACTGGGAAGGTGAGACTGGAGTATACGATTTCAGAAGGGTTAAGTCCACCTAGGTGAGGGTAATAAGGAACACGTGGTGAGAACAAACCAACACCTGTCTCCCATATCCCCAGGAACGTTAAGTCTAACCTTGCTGGGTGACCCCAGGGACAGTCATCTTAATTCAGCTTTTCACTTCCCCCCAGAAACCTAGGCTGGTTCTGACACCCAGGGGGTTAAGACACTTTGCAAGGTATAAAGTTTTCCATGTCTCCAAAACAGAGAAACGCCATGCCAAGAACTGGTAGTGGCATTCCAGTCCAAACAGAAGCACATTCAAGGTCTCAGACAAAACCAAACTTCACCCCCAGGGCATGCAAAGTAAGTTTGGTTTATACCCCTTGCCAGCCCACAGAGGCACTCCTGCTTTAAAAACAGCCTGAGACCAATATGAACTTCTTCCAGAAAGAACAAAAGCAATGCACATTTAGTCCTATAGCATAACGGCCATGAATTTTTATCTGATTTAACCTAACAGATAAGCCCTTAATACTTACTTTCATACCAGAAAATTCACCATGTATTTTGGCAAAGTGATACTGAACTACTGTTTCTTGACAATTAAATTGAGTTCCCAATTAAAAGAGACACCAGAATTTAGAAAGGTAGGCAGGGTAGGGGTTTCTTCATTTCAGAGACTATTAATTCCTCTGAAAATTAAGATTCACTCTGACTCCTGTGTTCATGCTGTCACTCAACTCTCACAATAAAGTTGTCCTCAAATTCCTTTGGGTTTGCTCTGATCGTTTGTCTACTGTATTTCTTTGCATTTCTTCAGTTTTTCACAATTACTTTATTCAAATAAACGGTCAAGCTTTTTCCTTCAGGATCAAAACTGAAGATTAAGTCTATATCTATATAAACACCTGGATATAGGTCAATTCTGCAAAAACATTTCATTTTGATTCATATTATTAATGACTTCTACAGCCAAAATATTGCTCTGAGTTCTATTACTTATTTCTCCCCAAATCTCCTTAATTAACTCTTAACTACTAACCCTTTTCATCTCTCCTTACTGATGCCAAGATCTCGGCCAGAGCCCTGTTGGTCTTCTCTCCCGAAACTTTGGCCAGGTCTTTCCCATCAGAAGTATACTCACTGTGCATATTCCAAATTCAACCACATAAACAAGTGAGTAAGTTCACTATACTGCAAGGAAGCAACTCACATTTTTCAGAACTCAGGAAATGTTAGAAAATAAACATTCAGGTATATTTTTCACAATGGCCTTTAAAATATGCAACAATAATAGGAAAAAAAGGTTTAAAAATCTTTGTAAATCAAGTTGGTCACATTTTATACAGAACCAAATTCTGTAATAGCAAGGAAAATGATCTTGAGTATACTGACTTTGAGAAAGTCAAAGAATAGTCAAACAAATACACTCTCCCCCACCAACCCCCCAAATACTCACATCCTGCCATTTCTGATCCTGTTCTTTCAATTGTGATTTTAATTTCTGCATCTCCTCATAACGAAGCTGACGCAAGTTTTGAACATCCTCTGCGCTGACATCACTCATGGACTTACTCCTACAATAAAAACACTCGTGGTTACTATGGAAGTTCACCTGACCAGACTTAGGGTTAAACTGAGGTTGGACTTACATTTGGAAATTCCACCTAAATTTCTACCTAGACGCTTCAGTGATAGTGTCACAAAAGTAGCACTACAGAGATAGATGGTGTTTTTCCAAAACTCAGAAACAAGAGCCTAGCACTCGAGTGTGAATTTTTTCACAAAATGGCTAGAATAGCCCTATATGAGTCTGACAAAAATATAACCAAAGGTTTATATTTAAAGAGGTCAATGCATAAAGGGATTACTTTAGGGGAAAAAATAGTCACTAGAATCATCTCTTTTTATTTTCTATCTCCCTCAAAGACAATCTGTTGAGGTTTGGCTGCCTTTTCTGGGCACTAATCAATAATTTAATGTTTACCTGATATTTTTCTCCTCAAGTTCAATACCATGAATAAATGTGCCGCTGCTTCTAAAGGATTCTATAAGAGCTGCCCTACCACAGCACTAGACTCATTCTCAAAGTACCACAGGTAGTTTCTAACAGTTCTTTAGAACTCCCTCTATAACCCTCTTCTTTCATGAGGGCAGCTTGCATGCATTCAACTTGTAACACAAGGACGACGGAGGTTAAGCTTTGGGAAAGCTCAATCCACAGTAGAAACCAATGAACAGAGTGGGGCACTGGGCACAGGCACATGTGTGCTCTCTACATGCACATAAAAGAGCCAGGTAAACTCTACCAGACGGCAAAGAGAGACTGAGGTTGGTCTCAAGGAGGGGGAGAGGTCAGATCTAAATACTGGGGAGCAAGTAGCAATGAGAGAAAGAGCCTTTGAAGCTCTTTCCTACTGATCTTTTATACTGCACTCCTGACTTTATTTAAGTAACTGTACATCTCCTGCCTGGGCATCTAAATTTTGCCTTCCAAGAAGTTGCCATCATTATTTATTTTAAAGCATGTTTGCTCTTAGCTAGTTTAGGAATTCCTAGCTTAGCTAGCTCATGGAGGTAAAACTTCCAAGCAATTCCCAATTCCATAGTTAAGGAAGCAGTCTTTCCTTTGACTCATTTCCAATTGCTCCTTGAATGAATAATTCTGCAAAGATATCCCCTAGGCACTTCAATTGTCAAAGGACCGATTAAAATAATATCTACAAGGGATTTTGTAAACTGTAACTCATTAAATGCATGGTTATTGTTGATGTGACCAAATTCAATCTTGTCCCCAAACCTGCTTTTCCTCTTATGATTACTAATGTTGCTACCTGCCCTCCAGACTTCCACATCTGAAACCTAAGAACCACTTTTCAGCGTTGTGTCTCCCTTCTCCCCACTTTCCATTAGTTATCAAGCCCTTTCATTCAGTGTCTCTTTCTTTCCATCTGTATTGCCAACACCCTAGATCAGAGTACAGTTAACTCACCTAGACTTCCAAAATGGCTTCTTAAATTAATAACCGACCTTCGGTTTCAACAAACATCTTTCCTAAACTATTCCCTCTGATTCAAAAGCCCTTTACCAGTATACATAACTTCTTAAATGCCATTCACTCCCCAGGACCCAGACGGGTATATCCAACTTCTATTCATTCTCCACTTGGAAGTCTAATAGGCATCTCAAGTTTGTCACAGATAGAAAACCTGATTGTCCCCTTCACAACCTGCTCCTTTCTCACTTTCCTGATATCAGTAAAGGTCACCTCCAGCCTTCCCAACATTAGGTCACATATCTTGGAGTCATCCCAGATTCTCCTCTTTCTCTCATATACCATAACTAGTCCCATCAGGAAGTCCTGTCCCTCTGCCTTCTAAATATATCTAGAACACAACCACTTCTTACCACTTCCACCACTCCACCCTGATCCAAGTGTCTCCTACCTGGATGATTACAATTATTACAATAATCACATCACATCTGCCACCTGGATTATAACAATTATCACATCACCTCCTACCTGGATTATTATAATTATTATAAAAATCACATCACATTACCCACCCCTTCCTACCCAACAGCAACCAGAGAGGTCCTTTCCGACTGCACTCAGATCATGGTATACCTCTACTCAGCACCCACTCCTTTCTTCCCATTTCACTAAATTAAAGGCAGGTTCTTCCAAAACTTAAGAGGTCTGCCATCCCTGGTTCCTACCTCCCTCTCTGTGCTCATTAGCACCATGCTCCCACTCCTTCTGCTCCAGCCAACTGGTCTCCCTGCCCTGTTTACACCTCCTGCTTTTCTCCCTGCTCTTCAATTGCCTGGAATGCTCTTCACCCTGATAGTCACATAGCCTCTCTCTCACTTCCAGGCATCTGCTTAAATGTGCCCTCTGCGTTTCCTTCTCTGACCACCTTATCAGAAACAATCAATGCTCCTCTCCCCCAACCCAACCTGTCCTTTGCCCTTTCTCCTCCACAGCATTCCTGGCCATCAGAAATGCACATTTATTTACACATCACTTGCCTTGTCCCGTAAGATTATAAAGCAGGAATTTTCTAATTTGTTTGCTGGTACATCACCTGTACCTGAAAGGGGGCCCAGACCTGCTAGATACATGTGTTAAATTAATTATCTAGATAATATTCAGCACTTTGGTGAAGTCTTCCCAGCTCTTCCATATCAAAGCTTCTCTGTCCCTCCTCTCAACCCCTCTACAGCATCAGCTACACCTTTTTCATGGTACTAAACCCTCAGGCTTATGTCTTGTACAGTGCATGTGTGTACGCATGTACGTGTTTGGATTCTCTTCCTCACAAGTCATGTGTTGCTTACGAGGAAAACACATTAGCAGCACAAGGTGGGTAGGATATCCTCATTCAATGTCCGTGAGAAGAATGAGATAGGTTTTCTCATATTTAATCAAGTAAAATTTACTATACTTAAAATGTTTCTAATTCTTTTTGTAAGATTATTATGGCTATTCCCAGCTCTATGAAGAAAGTTTCATAGCATTTATTAAGGATGATTAAGAAATAAATTATATAGAGAGAATACATGAGGACATATATGAATATAGATGGATCTATTAATGTAATACATCTAACTAGGTATGACTACTTATAAAACTGATTTGTGTGAATTTAAGAATATAAATTCGCGTAAGTCACACTGCAAAGAATGAGGCTATTTGAACTAATACTATGACAGACCCACTAAGAGGAGGCAGAACAAATTGTTTAAGAACCAGGCATGAGGGTACCTAGACACTCAACACATGAGATTACACAAACCCAGCACAAAACAACAAAGGAATGCGATGAATACTTTAATAATCTTGTGATGGGAAGAAGGCTAGAAGGCCCAGGATCTCTGAGGGGTTACTCTTCTTTGGCCCCAATCCTCCTGCACCATGCAATGCTAAGGTGTCTTCCCGTGAAATGTCTTTCTCAATGGCAAAGGCTGCATCCTCCTCCGGGGTACCCCCAACACGAAGCAGAGCCTGGCACACAGGCAGTTCTCAATGTGAACAAAGTGAACCAAATACACTCTGAAGTAGACAAGTCTCTGTGTAAGGCAGGATGTGAGCACAGTTCACTCCCTAGGGTACATATAGTTACCCACATCGAGGCTGCACACATTGGATAGCAGCTGGAGCCAGGCACCACAACAAGCCAGGAGGTAGAGGGCTGCAGGCCCAGCCATGGTGCCCATTTTCACCCCAACCTAACACACATCAGTTCATTTCCGAGCCCCGGTTTCTCACCTGCTAAGTGAGGAAGGGATTATGAGAACTGGATATGGCTGTGTGGGTTGCATGTTTTAAACCATCTGGGCCATACACGAACTTTCTTTAAAGAAAACATGATTACATGGGATCTCCCACAAGCAAACTTTCCAAGCTGCTTCAAATCAGAGAGGTCCCTGCAGACCACAATGATACAATCTAGAACTTTTGGAGCGGAGGAAGGAGTCTCTCAGCCAGATCACAAAGAATTATTTCCTCCCTTATCAGCATTAATGGCATAATATTCAGCTTCTGAGGGCTTACTCTGTGCCAGCAACCTCGCCAAGCAGTCTACATGAATTATCTCAGAGGCAAAGCCCTAGTCCGGTTCTACCACTCACAAGTCACGTGTCCTTGGGAAAGCTGCAATATTTGTTTCTCTATCTCCACATCCCTATCTGTCAGCCTCACAGATTTGAGATAAGCACCAGAGATAGCATCAGAAAAATTGTTTGGGAAAACTATGAAGGACTGCACAACTCTAGTATGTTTTGTTGAATGAAGGGTGATTAGATGCCAAACCACATGTCTCTGACAAGTCCTGCTTCATTTGTATTTCCTTGTTTGGAAGGGCTCCAATTTAGAATTGCAACTGAATTTTTTCCAAAAAATACACATCTAGCATCTTGCCCTTCTGTTGAACAGAATTTTTTAAAAATAGCATTTGGGAAGAAACCGAGGAAAAAGGGGAAGTTTAACGTAGAAGGTGTCAATCATAAAATAAGGTCGCTAAAGTCTTACTCTCTTCTTCCACTATGCGGACTGCCTACTATGCTCCTCTACTTATTCCAGGAGTAACAGGAGTAACAGAGGAGTAAGGGATCAAAAAGGATCAGCATGCAGCATATTTTCTCAAATATAAAATCATGGATAGCCTCATATAGCAAACAGAAATTTCATGATACTAAGGTTAGGGATCCTCAACTTTCAGAGGGAGACAGGAATATGCTGCCTTATGTACCTCTAAGTATATTTCCCTCAGATTATTATAGGAATTCTCTGAAAAGCAATCATTGCTAAAACTTGGACAAGAGGCTTTGGAATTACCATGCACTAGAATAAAAAGGCAATGTGATGAAGATATTTTCATTTTGAGTCTCAATGAGGGTTCCTCAACAGCACCACTGTTGACATTTTGGTGCCAGAAAACTCTTTGTTGTAGGGCACTCCTGTGTACTGCAGGGCATTCAGCAGCATCACTGGCTACGAAGGCCCTGGTTGCCAGTAGTGCACACACCCCCACCCACCCAGCGAGACAATCAAAAATGTCTCCAGGCACTGCCAAATGTCTCTGGGGGGATGGAGGGAAATCCTTAGAAATAACTCACAGTGGCTTTTTTTTCCTCTTCTTTTTTGCTGTCATATGGCTTTATAATTCTACAGACTCTTTTGGCTAAACTCTTAAGTGAAAAAATGGAATCAGTGTTCATTTCCTATTAATACTGGCAGCAGATTCAACAGCTTCATCACATACAAGATTATTTCTACATATCCTTACAAAAATTTTGTCATTAATTTCTCTGACAAAACACATGCCCAGATTTTCAAGTTTCATGAAACCACACAGACATAAAACCATGCAAGACAAAAGCACATACAAGAAATAACAACCATATACAAAGCATCTTACTAAACATAAACAGACAAACTGACAGGTGTTAAATGTTAAATAAAAAGCAAGCCAGAAATTAACAGTCTCAGACTTCAAAAGATATTGCACATTTCTCTTTAACCCAGTCCCTACAAGAAAGCAAGCATTCATGTTACAGGCAGTTATTTTTCAATGACAGCAAGTTGAGCAACAATTCTTTTCCAGGTAACGATGCCAGGCTTGACAACGTACATTATGTTCAGGGAAATATCACCCAGTATAAACATGAAACAAGTTCTAGATTAAAAGCCTACACTTAATCCAATTTAAATTTCTATTTTTACTGCAGCAGTTCGACTTAAGAAAAGCACCGGAAAACCAGGCATCATGGCCCACATGTGTGCTCCTAACACTTTGGGAGGCCAAGGCAGGAAGAATGCTTGGGCCCAGGAGCCCAAGACCAGCCTGGGCAACATGGCAAGACTCTTATTTCTTTAAAAAAAACCAAACAAACAAACAAAAAAAATACTGGTAACTGATAGACTGCAGAGAAAAATCCTTTGTTATAGATTTGACTTATTCGACTTCAAGCAGTCCAAAACACACTTGAGTTTTCTGAAGACACATTCATATTATAATGCTTTCCATTGTTTGACATGTCATGCATTATTCAGTCTCCATTTACAGATCATCTTGCTTTATTTGTGTAGTTACCTTGGCATTAAACTGCATGCAGAACAGCCTTTAAAACAAATATTGTACTATCCAAACAACTATCCTGGGTTAGAAAACATTTGCAGCTCTAATCCAGAAAAATCTTTAGCTTTTCAAGCTTTGGTTTTAGGTTTCTCTTTTCTTCTCTAACTCAGTTATATAACTTACCCTCACTAAGGGGAACACAACCAGCCATTGAAATGGTTGTACATTTCGACATTCCCATCACATACTTGTACTCTGGGTATGTGTATTCCCTTTAGGAAAAGCAACTGTTTATGAGAGTTGCTTACATTATAAAGTTATATTTAATTTACAAATGAAAATTCTTCTGAAAGTTACAATTCAACATGCTTAAAGCTGCAAAGAGATTTTAATCAAGTTAAAACAGCTTTCCTATGACTTGAGAGTAGCAAATGCTTGAGCATCATGCAGATAAGCTGGATAGGGGATAAGGTGCCTTAGCATGGCACATGGAAAGCATGCAGGGACCCTGGTTTTTAAAATCAGTGGCTAGGCCAGGCATGGTGGCTCACACCTATAATCTCTGCACTTTAGGAGCCTGAGGTGCGTGGATTATTTGAGGTCAGGAGTTTGAGACCAGCCTAACCAACATGGTGAAACCCTGTCTCTACTAAAAATACAAAAATTAGCCAGGTATGGTGATACATGCCTGTAATCGCAGCCACTTGGGAGGCTGAGGCAGGAGAATTGCTCGAACCCAAAAGATGGAGGTTGCAGTGAGCCAAGACTGCGCCACTGCACTCCAGCCTGAGCACAGAGTGAGACTCTGTCTCAAAGAAAAAAAGAAAGAAAGAAATAAGTGTCTAACAAGTACTTACAATTTGTTGCCTATGGCTGAGTTACACCTTTGGCATCTAGAATGGTTATACTGCTTCACGTTTAGTAGCTTCCAAGATTTCTGAATTATCAAAATTATAAAAAGCTATCAAAACTAGAGATCCTTATATTTGAAGTAAATCCTTGTAAGGGGAGATACTTAGCTATTGAGGCTTGAGCAGATTAAAATATTTGTCATCCTTTAACTCTCTTCCTCTTGCTCAAATACTGTTAGCCCTTAGATTCACAAAGTTACAAAGCTTGGTGGAAAATATTATGATATAGCCACCTTGTGATTTTGTACTAAGAAAGAATAAATGGCTGGGTGTGGCTCACGCCTGTAATCCCAGCACTTTGTGAGGCTGAGGCGGGTGGATCACGAGGTCAAGAGATCGAGACCATCCT